ATTTATTTATGCATATAGAACTGAGGTATAGGCCAGAGGTGCAGGGGTGGTGAGAGGATTCACCAGAGACAGGAGTGGGGGGCAGAACAGACAGATCAATGAAGTACACTACCTAAGAGAGCAGTGGGTGGGTCAAGAGAGGTCTGCCACGCCATGTGGATCACCTCTGGGGTGGGGATTGAACTCATGCTGAACTGGCTTTAGCTTCTTAATGCGGTGCTTTAACCTACTGCACCACCAGGGAGGATCCTTGAATGTATTTATCTTTTCATTTTTATTATTCAGGCACACCCATATGTATGGGTGAAATCATATGGCATTTGTCTTTTTCTGTCAGGCTTATTTTACTTAAGCACAATACCTTCTAGATACAAACAAAAACCAGGGAGAGTCTGAGTAAATGAACAATTGGAGGTTTGAGGAAAGTAGTGTATCTTGAAAGAGAATGTGTAAGTTCAGTGCTCCTTTCAATACAGTGAGCCCTGTGCATCAGACTGATCTTAAATTACATTTTTTAATAATAAACCTGTATTCTGATGCCAGTTATTGACTTTAAATACTTGATCCACCAAAATTACATCTGGAGGGAAAAGAATTAGCCCTGATAAAAATGTTCCAGATACTGAGCCCAACCAGTGGATGGGGGTAAACCCTGACCATGTGTTTCCTCCTCCCTCAAAGGTGGAGGAGGATCTGGCATTCACACTCCCTTTTTACTCAGCCATTCCTTAAAGAAAAACTTTTACTGCCACCTTCCTTTAGCGAACATTTGCCTTAAAAGTGGTTTGCCTCTTGCCCCAGCATCTGGGAGATACTCATCATTTTTCCAGAAGGCTAGAAGTATAACGTCTGGGATAGTCCCTCTTTCCTATACAGCTTTGAGAAAGTGTCCATGAGCTTGCAAGACGGGTCCAGCCGAAAGCCTCAGTTCCCCTTCTGGAAAGTGACTGAAAAGGACAAATACAGGGGCTACTCCAAATACACATTTTATTATTTTGTTTCTATTTTTAGGTGGTATTTTGTTGTTGCTCCCAAAATGCCCTGTGTTCACTAACCTGGAAAACATCTAGTGGTACAAAAACCAGCCAGATGTGATGCCTTACCTCTTTGACCTTAGTTCCAAAAAAACACGAGTCAGCCCATGCACTTTTTAAATTAATCTGCAGAAAGGGGGGTTTGGCAGAGGAGAAAAAAAGGCCTGGTTTCAGGAACATAAGATGCAGATTCAGTAAAAAAGTTTGCTCATGAAAATCATTTCTTTCTCATGGTGTCTGTCTTGAAAAGAAATTAGGTTTTGTTTTGCTTTTCTGTTATGAACCTTTGCTAAAGCTAGTTGATTGCTTAGTCACTAAGTGTAAGAATGGAGCTATTAGCTATTATTTTATGTTATCACAAGATAAATTTTGTTCATCACACTTAGATGTACCTTGCCAGCTCATAAGGTTCTTAGCAAAATATAACCAACAGAAGGGAGAATTTTGTTTGGTCTCTTGATATAAAGGTTTGAAATATGAATTATAAAATATTTCTGCCAGTTTTAGAAAATCATAATTATATCCTTATTTCTAACTTCTATGCCAAAGAATAGCCAGCCCCTAACCCAAATTACAGAAGGTGATAGTAAATTTTCCTTTTCCCTAAATCTGAAGGAAACTTAAAAAGAAGGAAGAAAATAACAGCCTAAGTATAAATTACATACTAAACTTGTCATCTACATACCCATTTATTATTTTGTTTCTATTTTTATGTATATTTGCCCCCAAAACACCTTATGTTCAGCTTCAAGAATCATCCCCTAGTATCATTTTAAAACTATAATTATCTCTATCCGGAGAGTTCCTATTTCAAAGCCACTTAACCTCTTGTCTTTCTAGACTGATGATCTCTACACCTTGTTTTTCATTGCTTTTTCATTGCTTGTTTTGTTCTTTAAGACTAAATCGATAGTAATGCCTTTGTTAATTAGCTATTTTAGTTGAATTTTGAAGTCAAACTAATAAAATTAAATCAAGTTTACATTTTAAAAAGTCTTAAATAATTTTAGGTCTTCTGACTACTCCTGAAACCTTTTTTTTTGTGGTTAGTAAGTGAATGAAAATAAGAGGATCCAAAGGTGGTCAGAAAAAAATGGAAGAAAACTTCATGAAAGGACTCAATAACATGTCTTTTCTAATATTAACTAAGTAACCTAAAAGGATGTGGAAATGTTATTTCTGTTGCACATACATAGGTCTACTTTAAAATGGAAAAATAGATACTATCTTATTAACCAGTGGCAACAAGTATCAGGCCTTGTATTAGGTAGTAGAAGCAGGGGAGTGAAATGATGGAGGAGAATACCTATCTCCCACAGTAGTGATAGGGTTCATGGGGTGGGTAGTAGATTTTTTCTTACAGTGTGTTTATAATGTCAGTATCTAAATTTAGTCAGAAAAATTTCAGTAGTAAAAGGTGAATAATACAGAAATGGAAGGACTTGCAGAATAGTCGATCGATAAGGATGGTAATAAATCAATTATGCTTTTGTTAGGCTTGGAATCCAGCTGCTGAAGATCAGTGCTTTGACAGATGCCATAGACTTGGCCAGAAACAAGAAGTTATCATCACAAAAGTGAGTTTAAATAATGTATTTCAAAATTAGGTTGAAGTTTTTTTTTTTAACCATACAAATTCCTATATATTATTATAAAAGATTGAAATGTAATGAAACAGAGTAATACATGGTCACCTCACCTTTATTCTTCTTAGAGAAAGCAGTAATCAATAGTTCAATATATGCTATTTAGAGTGCCCTTTTTCTGTGTTTACATTCATTCATATTTATGTCTCCTTAAAGAAATTTAAGTAAGATATAACTAAGATCATCATATTTTTATTATGGAACATGTTTTGTCTTCCTTTAACAGTATATATTAGAAACTACAAGTAGAGTTCATTTAGGTAAAGCACATTCCTTTTTTTCCTATACACATAATTTACCATTTTAACTGTTTTTAAGTGTATAGTTCATTGGGTTCATTCACTTTATTGTGCAGTCATCACCATCTGTAGCCAGAACTTTTCCATCATTCTCAAACTAAGAATGTACCTTTTAGAGCATACCATTCCTTCTCTCAGCACTAGTAACTTCCTCTTGTACTTTCTGTCTGAATCTACTCTACAAACCCAATCTTAGTAACTGCATAATGGATGATTTATTTAGCCACTTCAATACTATAACAGGCATTACCTTAGAAGATATTAGAAAATCTGGAGTTCTAAATTTCAAATTCTTGATGTATGAGGATGATAGAAAATAAGGTTTATATCAAGACCAACAAAGTGCCCTTTGCCCTTCTTTGTATTTACCTAAGTCCTTACATATAATTCACACATTTGTCATCTGTATTTTTTTTCTGTGAATTTGTTTATACCTTTTTGCCTAGTTTCGTAAAGTAGTACAAACATAGCTTTTTATAATACAAAGGACTCCTTCATACATTCTGATTCTAAGTGTTGTTTTACATTGGAAATGGTTAACTCCAGGTGTTTGCTGGTGTTTGAACTTGTGTGCTTTTTATGAAAAAATTAGGAAATTTTCTGACTAAAACAGTGTTTTTTAATATAGCTTCTAGATTTGAGGTATTTCTTTAGACCAAAAATCTTTATTATTTTAAAATACTTACCTGATTCTTTTGAAGTAGTGTTATCGTCTATGTTCATGATGCAGGTCTCACTATTTTTTCACATGAAGAATCATCTCCATCACCAATTTTTAGAGTCCCTCTTTTTTTTTAAAATTTCCTATTTTGAGATGTCACCTTTATCATAAACTGAAGTCATATATTACGTGTTCGTTGCATTGATTTGTTTTCCCTACCCTTCTGACTGCTATGGCACTGTATTATGTGTTTAGTCAAAGCACTCACTTTACTGTTTTTGAAAATTGTATTAGTTACTACTTTTGTATTGGATTTTGGTTTTAAATTAGCAAATTCCATTTAAAAATCATGTATCTTTCTCATTTAAATCTTTTATATAGTTCAGTAATGTTTTATAACAACTTGTTGAATTACTACAGTAACTAAGACCTCTTGCTGAATAAGTAGGTGTGTAAGTGGTCATCCTTGATTTCTTTGTTGGGAGTACTTTTCCGGTATTACATTAAATCTGGTGGATTTTCTAGCAGATACCCTTGGTAAGATTGAGGATATTTATTTTTAGGTTAATGAGGATATTTTTAATCAGGGATTAGTATTAAATACTGCATTTTACCAAATGCTTATTAAGCATCTGTTGAAATGATCACATTTTTTCCTTTTTATTTTTTTTTGCTGTTATGAGTTAATTATACTAGTTAGATTCATTCTTGTATTTTTCATGTGAAAAATCTCATTTAGTACTTTTAATGTGATGCCAAATTTGTTTCATTTAGAGTTGCTTATAAAGTTTGCTCTTTTTTTAGTGTGCTGTTCTTGTCTGGTGATGGGGATATAAGATAAAAGTTAGGTCCTTAAATCCATAGTCTTATACAAGAAGCTTTTTATACAAGAAAACCATACTGAGTGATAGGAGAAATCAGTGCTCATCTCTAAGCTAAACATTTTGTAATAATCACTATTGATAGTGTTTGAAAGCTGAATAAATTAAGAAAGCAAATTTAATCATATACTAACATTTCTATCATTTCTCAAAATTTCATTTTTTAACTTAGATTTAAAAAGTTGTGACCTAAAAAGTACTTAACTAATTTAACTTTTTTTTTCTTCTTTTCTTTTTAAAGTTCATTGTGAAAGACTCTGTTGAAGAAAACATGCTGAAAATACAAAACACAAAGAGAGAACTTGCAGCTGGAGCCTTTGGAACTAAAAAGACAAATGCTAATGAAATGAAACAAGCTAAAATAAATGAAATCAGAACTTTAATTGATTTATAAATTGTGGGATGTTGGTAAGGTCAGTCTAATCGGCTATATACAGAAGTTTTGGAAATGAGAAAAATAGTTTTAGAAATAAGACATGGAATGTGACATTTTATTTCAATGAAGAGTATTACTGATATAACATCTCTTCTACATGTGAACCTATTTTTAATATTTCAAATAGCAAGTTCTGACATATACTGTGGCCTAAAAAACTTTCTGAGGAAAAAAATTTACTGTTACTCAGTTTTTCATGTTAACCAATGCTGAGTATTTTCATGTATCTTTGAAGTACTCTGCTTTTTCATATTTCAAGGAAGGTCAAATCTTTTAAACTTTTGACCAAATAAAGAGTTATTTTCTATGTTGTATAAATTTGCTTATTCATGAATGCCTCTCATTTTTTTGATGCAGTGGCTTTACCTTATTCAAATTACTAATATATACACATACTATATACAAAATACTGCTTATATTGAATTTTCAAAAAAACTATTTGCATTCCAGAACTAAACATTGATAAGAGACCAAAGTCCAGGCTGGCAAGTTACTTTTATTTTTTTTTAAAATAGTTTCATTAAGATAAAACATAAGTATCTTGCAGTTTTCTGAAAGTTAAGGACTGTTAGAGCACTGTTTTCTTTTATAGGTGGCACTATTATTCATTGTTTAAATGTAACTCGATACATTTAGTGTGTAAATAGAATCTAGGGATGAGAAGGAACAAATTCTCAATTTGACCTAAATATTTAAATTATGGAATTTCTAAGTATTTCTATATAGAGATAACTTTTATTTATGTAGCTTTTTATAAAAAAACAAAAACTATAAATTTTTGTAATTCAGAAGACTAATTACTATATGTGAGAGGTATGTTAACCTAGATGGAAGTTGGGCTGGATGACCTCCAAAATCTTTTACAACTCTTACACTTAATCCTGAATGGAAAATTTTGTTACTGTGTTTAGAATCAGGGTTTAATTTTGGGACTTTTAAGTAATTGATCCTTACATCTATCTCTAGAATTAGTTTTGTTTTTTTTTTTTTTTTTACATAATCTCACAGAATTCTAGATAACTCTGAGTCACATTTAAACAAGAAGAGTTAAAAATCTAGCAGTCAAGATAGTCAGTGCTGTTATTTCCTTAAAGGGAACTTTTATTTTTAATCCAAAGAAGAGATAATGCAATAGCAAAGAGGCTTCATATTTCATGATACAGACTTCAGAACACTATATTTTACCTTACAGTGTCAGAAGTGACTTGACCAAAAGATAAGGAGAGTGAAGGTGGCATAGAGCACATCTCTTTAGGTATATGCTGAATGTATCAACAGATAAGCCCTCCCTTATCCTGTTTTCTTGTTTCAGGGGAACAGTAATCTGGAGCATTTAAGGGCTGATAAAACAGAACATTAGCCCTCCTTTATGGTTGAGAGTGGATTGCTGATACTGATTTTCCTAGCTTTAGGAGCAAGTTGTTTACTTCTAGGACTGGCATTACACTAAAATTAAGGATCAGAATCTCTATACCAGTCTCTATGGAGATTAAATGTAAGAAGTTTTCAGCAAAACCAACACAAATCTAAATCTACTTTGTTGACAAAGACAAAGCTTTGGCAAACTCAGTAAAGATGAAAATTTCACTTACTTTACTAAAACATTTCCAGACTTGTCTTTTTTTAAGCACATTCATAATAATAGCTTGGCAATTAAAATCATTTAAAAAATACCTTTGTTTTTGAACAGTTCTGTTAAAAAACAACAAATTTAACTCTTCTATGAAAAATATATAAACCACTGGAATAAAAACTTTACATTATGCTGACATTATGCTGTGCTGTTAATTATTTTTCATTACTATGTAGATAATAGCTTTAGAAATATTTGAAGACATTGTTCCCACTTGTGGTTAAAACTCACTTTTGTTGTTTAAACTGGATTTTGTTTAAAATAAATAAAAGTTTCAAAAATGTATTAGCTTCCTCAGTGCCATACTTTTAATGACTACTTTTTCTAAAAAAAAAAAAAAAAACAGCTTTTCAAAATTTTACACCTCTGTTGAAGATGCTTATTATGTAATTTTTACTGATTACATAATTTTTACTGACAATACATAGGGAGTACTATGAGTAATAATTTGCTTATACTCTGAGCACCTTTATTTTGCTCAATTAACAGTTGAATTTTTGTTTAGAAATTGGAGTGTATTTTTCAAAATTTTTATTAAATGCCTTAAACTTACAAAAGATTGGTTCCAATTTTATTTCCTCATTTACAAGGGGCGGTAAAAATTATGATTATCTATTATTTATCATGACATTACTAGGTCTTACTCTCTTGTCAATTTTCCTGTAATTATATCTCTAGATTGGAGATAGTTAATCAAGAAAATCCTGTTGTTACTACCAGTGAGTAGCAATGAAAGTACCTTCAGGCAGTGTATGTGTTCTGTTGGCGAATGTCAAAAGCATTAGATTATTTTTTTCTACTTAAGTTTTGGTAGGATTTGGAAGACATAAAATTAAAAACATTTTAACTTGAAGTTTTTAGCTATATTTAAAATATTTGTAATGAGTATAAAAACAGGCATTTAATTTATCCTTAAGTATGTAGTTAAACCTACCTCACATTTGTTTGGTACTTCTGAATAAAAACCCAAATAACGATTAGAATGCATTCCTGAAGTGATTCCTATTTCAAAGAGGAAACTTGATTAGAATTTTTTATAAACAAACAGTATTAACATACTGTATGATAATAAGGGAGAGCAGTCTTCTATATGAAACTATAATTTACTCCTTTTGAAAGGGTAAGTGATTTCATATTCCCAGTCAGAGCTCTTTAATAATTAAAATGGGGTATTTTAAAATCACTTTCAAACTCCATATTTAACTTCCCTAATTGACTTTTCTAACATTTAAACACATTTGAACTTTTAAATATGAAAATTGATTTCTATGTGGAAAAAAATAGAATTTTAATGTGTATATATAGCACACACCACCTCCATTAACCTGAACCAATTTGAACTAGACTCTACAGGAACATCATTTAGAAGGCCAGCAAATGTCAAAATGATTTCTTAGATGGTGGTTAAAACAAAAATTTCTAGAGCATGTTTGCATATTCAGAAAGCTCAGATTATTCCTAGAGGCTATTGTATAATCAGAGGTGATATTAAAGAGTTGGCAATGATATTAGATCTTGTTAAGTAATGTACACTAAGTAACTCATTTCAACTTCTTAGTTTATTTAAAATAAAGGAAAATTAACCAGTATATAGCCTCCTAAATGTTTAATTTTTCTTTTTGTAGGAGACAGGATGGCTATTTTCTAATAAATACTTTGTGAATTAAAAATAGCACTGAGGTCACTTAAAAATGAAGTTAAAATTTCATGAGAATTGGTTTTGTGAGAGAAGACATGGTTCCTGCAGACAGAGGTGTATAGAAAATGAAGATAAGCATTCACTTTATGCATGAATCATAGACCTTGATGAAATCAGTCATCTCCAAAGGTGTGGATCAGACCTTTGTATAGGCTAATTTATCTTGTAGCCAATACCCACCATTATTTACAAGGGGATTAAAAAAAAGGATTTATTGACCCCCCTCCTCCCCACTAACATAAGTTCTTGTAATCTTACTCTTGCCTTTTCACAAATCTCATTTAGTGATAGTTGGTAGCTACATTCCCTTGGAAAGAACTTACAGTATAATTATGTAGTTTTTCCTGAAAAAATTTATTTTAATTGGTATATCCATAGAACATACAGAAAAGGAAATTTGCTAGCCTAGTTCAACAACTTCCTAGATTCATAACTTGAGGCCTTAATGCACATGTTGTTTCCACCTCTGCTGATTCTAAACGTAAGTGGCCTTTACTAAATAAACTTAAATTGTTTTTCTACTTCAGAGTTCTCTCATGCAGTGTAAAAACTGCAGAACAAAAAATGTAACACCGATGTTTGATTTTACCCTCCCCAGATTTTATTGTAGAAAAATAAAAATCTTTGAAATATAGTGATTGCTTCTGACATAGATGGAGTTCCAAAATACATTTAATTGGATTGCGTATTGCATGACCACAAGGTCATAATAGCAAATCTGAAAATTAGGTTTCTGTTCATAACCCTGGACTCAGAAGCCAGGAAGACTTCTGACCAAAAGAGTGGCCACCTACTGAATTCATAACTTGACTTAGGAAAGGACTGCATTTAAGCTCATATAAACATTGGCTAATATATTTTGTTTTAGGCAAACAGTACCGACAGATGGCATCTCAAAAACTTAAATAGATCAGTAGATCTACTAAGAGCACAAGGAGCCCTTACCTTTACAGAGTTATGTTGACCTTGAGTACCTCACAGTTCACAGCAATATAAGTGTTGCCATTTCTGGGTTAGTAAGATAATTGAAAGCTGGTTTTATATATAGGATTGTATGAAAGCTTCTTTGTTGTGAGGCCTGAATTGTGTCTGAACCAAAAGTCACAACTTATCTTTGGCTTTTCTTAATACATTTAGTTTTATAAATATAATTTCATATGCCTTATTAGGAATGTCTATGTAAAAGATATTTCCCAAATCCTATTTCAGGGCCATTCATAGCAAGCAAACTGAAAGGTTTTCCATTGTGTTACTTCCCAGATTTATGGTATCTGCATTTCTGACTATAAAGCATTTCTCTGACTTCTGCATTTTCTTGGATTTCATTATCTGTTTTGACCATATGTTTGTCCAAAGCACACCTTTGAAGTTAGAGCAATTATTTGAATCGAATACCTTTGCAAATTACTACCTTCTTTGCAAAACATGAGGATAGTATATATTCATCATAGGATTGAGATGAGAATTGAGATGTAAATATCTAATATTCTCTTTCCTCTTTTTGCTTTCTTACAGATTGTTTTTACATAAAGGAGATTGAATTTCAGCATCTGAAACTCAGAGAAATGTTATCAAATAACATTACCCAAGTATAAAAATGGATTGCAATCCATTTTTGTATTTGTAATAATACAAAAGCAGGAAAAAAAAGCAACCCATGGCAAACTATTTTACTTAAGGAGCCAAGTCTTGCTTAGCATGCCCCAAGTCTCAGTGACATTAAAAAGGTAAAACTGCATAATTATATTTATAGATGTTATATGGTAATGTTTCCAGTACCACTCAAGGAGCTGAGTTTGTCTTTTGAAAATTCTTCACTAATTAGAAGTTAAGTCCCCTGATATGCAACAAACACTTCACCTCTTCATTGTTCTAACAAAAACTTGATTCCATGTTGTATTTAGTGTAAATACTTCCTTAATGTACGAAGTGATTCTCAAACATGATTTGGGTTAGAGTCACCTGGAGTAGGTGATAATTATCTGGAGTGGAGATACTGTGGCCTTCAAACAACACCTATTGAATCAGAGTCTGTAGTTATGAGGCCCAAAAAAATGATTGTCTTCATTGTTTTCAGGATCAGTCAAGTTGGAGACAGTTACTCAAGCCTTTAATCTTTACTCTTTTTTTCCTCACTCTTACATCCATCCAATCTAGTAGCAACTTCTTTACCTGCTTCATTACTCTTGTTTCTCTCCAGGACGACTTGAGTATACTAACTTACTTTACTATCAATTCTTATGTCCTCATTCAAAGTTTTTCCCAACAATTGCAAAAGCAGTGTCCTTAAAAATGTAAGTCACAAAGACAACCATCTTTAGTGGCAATGGATCGAGACAACTGAAATTCATTCATTCATGATTACTCGGGATTTCAACATCTTTTGAAACCTTAATTACCTTTGAAAAAAGATAGGACATCAGTTTCTTGTTTTGTTATATTCATGATTGAAAGCATTTAACCTACCTTTTCTATAGAAAATTTAACCTCAGGATAACCAAGTGGTGGCTATTTAAAAATATAACCTCAGGATAACCAAGTGGTGGCTATTTAAAAATATATCAGCTAATAAGTGAGCATGATCATTTCTGCAATCAATGAAATTACGTATCTAGGCAGTGATCACCAATTCAGAAAAAATCATGAGATTTGGCAGTACCACCACTTACAAAGAATTGCTCCCCCACCTCAAGAAAAAAAAAAATCCTAATCTGACTGGTCCTCCAAGTCAGTGTATAGGAATATAGAACAAGGAGACATCAAATTGCAATCACTGCAAATGATAAATGAAGGACTATGAAACAAAAATCTGGTTTCTTTTAACAAATTGCAAGGAAATTAAGAAAAAGCGAGGGTGAGGAAACAACTTTATCAGTGATATGGGCCTGCCTTGTATCTTAACAACAAAGTACAAATAAAAAGTAATGGAGGACATTTACTATTGATACATTTTTGGTGTGATAATTTTCTTGTATCCTTAGGTTTTTAAGATACGGGAATATTTTCATAAAAATTACCAAGGATTTGCTTCCAAATAATCTGAGGTGGGGGAGAATTGATGGGAATGTAAATGTGAAACAATTGCTGAAGCTGAATGATGGGAGTTCTTTACAGTATTGTGCTTATTTTTGTGTTTACAATTTCCCATTAATAAAAATACAAATTACATTAATAAAACCTCAGTCACTTGCTGTAGAATTATAATGAAGCCTGAACTCCATAAATGAGCCTGCAAAGTCACTCCCCACCTCTCCATGCCGTCTTAAAATCCTTTACTTCCACCAGGTTCTTGCCTATTCCAGGGACTTTGCTTTATACACTTCCCTCTAGAAAGAATATTCTTCCTTCTCCTTACCCTTTTGACTATCTCAGAACCTCTTTTGGCTTAATTTCCATCTGAGAAAGTCTTTCCAGACTACCCTAAATTGGACTTCCCACATTAATGTCAGTGTACTTAGTATAGTTCATATTTGTTAGCTTTTTTGGTCAGTTTCCTATAAGATTATAAGGAACTATGCCTATTCTGAACTGCCTGTGTTTCCAATGCCTGTCACATCATGTGTGTGATATGGCAGGTACTTAGTACTTGTGGAATGAATAACGGTATTTTCTGTCACCAGTGTGTATGTTAGCTCAAGTTGTGCTTAATGTGAAACCAACATTTAATAAATATTTTGGTAGTTATTTCTGCAATAAGTGCAAATATGTCTTTGAGACCAGACAGATCTTTATGATGGGGAAGGTAAAAGCAAAACAGGGCTGAAATGAGCTTTGGGGTTATACTGTTTTAGGCTGTCCAGAAATTTACTCTAAAGGTTCATCTGTGTGTTACTGTATAACATTACATGTATTATACTGTATAACATTACATATATTATACTGTAAAGAATTTCAGTTTAGCCAGATTTTTAATGCATTGGGTTTTCACTGGAAGACTTCAGTTCATACTATCCATTGTGGAGATTGTTATACTAGGAGTATATGAGAGGTCTTTGTACCACAGCACCTGGAGGCACTTAAAAATCTTTGGTAGTGTTCCACCAGTCCAGATACTATAGCTTATTTTATTTTATCATTTAACATTTTATAATTTTAGGTAATTCCTCAGGTTCTTTTTGAGCTTTTGTAGTAATCAGCTGCTATAGAGATGGTCACAATCATTCTTGATTCCAGGTTTCCATACCCCTATGTTGAATGGGTTCCCCTGTGTAACCAATAGGATATTATGGAAGTAAAGGAGGGTGCCATTGACCAACAGGTCATAAAAACTGTTACAGCTTGTTCACAATGCTTCTTTTTGTCATCTTTTGTAATGTTTCTTTCCAGTAATTTCTGATTACTGAACTTTAGTTTTAAACAGTCATTTTAGACTTAATCGTTCCCTTCTCCAGCATGCCATCCCTGCAACCTAGAATCATTTGTACATTTAATAAATGTTTTATTCTATTATTGTAAGTCATAAATAAAACACTAAAAGATACTGGGTGCAGTACTGATTCTAATAGTCCAGGAAGATTGTTGAGTATGCTGATTTCAAGCTTATAGTAGTTTAAAATTGTAGTACCCATTTCTTAATAGAAATACAGTGTGGGTGACAGATTAAATAGATTTTACTTCATTTTCCTCCACCTATCAGATCCATCATCATCTTTGGAGAACTCTAAATTTTAAAGTATCTCTGGATAATCTAGAAATCAGTTTTTTTAGTATATTTACAATGTCAAGTTTTACTCTGGTTTTTAAAACACTGACACATTAAATAATGGAAAAATGCCCTACTACTTTTTTTTTCAATGGGGCAGGGAGCCTTAATTAGACAATCAGATATGGCAATAAGTCTTTATTTTTTCATACAGTGTGCCATTGCAAATAACCATCAGAAGGTATACTGCTGTTTCAGATATACAGAACTAAATAAGCATTTTATTTTTAGCATGTTGCTTTATTATACAATGAAAACTGGTGAAGAACTTTAGACACTAAAACTAGGAATTAAAATAGGTTAGCATCTTTTATTGATTGATTTATGGGGTCACTTAGCAGTGTTATTACAATCTACCTGAAAGCTGAATTACAATCACTCTAGCTGCCTCTGGACAATTTAAAATGCAAGTCTGGTCAAAGAGGCAGAAACCATGTCCTGTTCTGAAGGGAGACTAATTTGAAGCAGGCTTGGCATATTTTAAGAGTTGACATAGCCATTTCAATAGCCTGAATATTGAATTTCCCTTACCACATGTTGGCAATCAGCATCATTTAAATTTCTGAAACATCTGAGCATTAAGGCTAGGGTTAGAAAGGCAGGACGTTTCATATTAACAAAATTACTACTTCACAACTTGTGTACAGTTCACACCTTGTTGTCCTACCAAAACCCCTCATCTGATGAACTTTAGTGAAAGCCTCTAGCAATTGTAACAGACCGTTTCCAAACCAGCTCTAGATACTAAGTATCAGGAACAAGAGCCTGTAAAGTGGGTGTGTCCACAGGAAAATCTCGCAGTGTTTCTACTGAAGGTAAGTGTCAAGTTTTCTTTTGATGTTGTCAAAGGAATCTGCTCCCAGGTAATCAGCCTGGCCCTGTTCCCATCGCTCCTTCCGTTCTTCTGAGGATACAAAAGGTTGTGCCATAGCTGGGATCTCTCCAAGGGACAGATGTGACATGGCTCCTGAAATATCTCCCTAGAAAGGAGAACATAATCAGAGATTCCTTGAGACCTGAAAATCATAGCATTTAAAAGAATGCAGTATAAGGTGAGAAAAGTCAGGATGAATTATCATGCAGAGTAGTAAAAACTGAAAATATTACATGAAACAAACAAAAAAGACACAGATACAAGTCATATGATTTTTTTCCTAACAAAATGAAGATTTCTTGACTCAGTGAAGACATTGGGAGAACAAAGTAATTAGGGTTAATGTTTAAGTTCTGCATACCTTTCTACAGAAGCCACAAGAGAAAGCCAGTGTATAGACCAAGTCTGAAAGCTGCAAACAGTTTATTAGAAAGTGTAAGATGGATGGACCAGGAAACACAAGTCTAACAAATTCTTGATCTGTGTGGGCTCAGAAAGGTTGAGAACTTAAACAAAATGGTACTGCATTGGCTGAGCTTTAGATAAAACCTAACCACAGAGCCACACCACATACACAAGCTGTCACATTCTAAAAGCAAAAGAAAGCTAAATGGTTTAAGACTGCACCAAACTTATCTGCCTGTTCAAGCTTATTATCAAGGTGCATCTATTCTTGTAGCTTCTGTTAGCTTAATTTGCTTATTAGTTTTGAACTGTTTCAATTCCCATCTTCATATTTTCTTGGTTCATAATCCTCAGTCCTTGGATTGGGGAAGGAACAAGGTAAGTAAATGTGCAGGAAATGGAGAAAATCTACTCAACATTAAATTCAATTGTCATTACATATAGATAGTACTATAAAATATAAAATAATCTTTAAAAAAAACTCTGAGGTGAGAAGGTACTAGCAATGTTAGCAGAGAAAAAAGGCAATTATATAAAAGTACTGTTTTTAATAAAGTGGTAGGACAAATTTTTTTTATTACTTGTTTTTTAACATGTGTAAGTGTTTAAGCCTAAGAGTATATTATGTATTTAAATATACTGGAACTAAAAGGTATTTGAGTAGGCTGAATGGAACTGTATTACAGTTGAGACAACATAAGGAAATCCTTCGTTTATCAGGCCTGAATTAGAGTCCCAGTCTGATTTTGACTAGTCTGTTATATAACTAAGAAAAGTTATGTAAGTTCTTTAATTTACCTGTAAGAGGGCACTATTAACAACATTTATTTGGCAGAGTGGTTGTAAGGGTTAAATAGAATTGCTAAATTTTCATAATCAGATTGTATCAGGCATTATTTTCAGTTATGTACAATTATTAATTGATAGTCCATAAAAGCACTTAGAATTAAGAACATGTTTTTCCATTCTCCTTTTGATATTTTGGCATAAAAGCTAATGTGTGAAATGGTAATACCATACTAAAAGGAAGAACTATTCTTTTTATTAATTGAAGAAACTGCATTTTATCTTAAAGGTTTCAGATGTGCATGATTAAGAATTAGGGCACATACAATACTAAACGTCCATTTCTATCTTCACCATACTACTGTTCTCTTATCAAAGGATCTCTTATAACCCCATTGTCGTTTATAATGGCAGCAATGGATGAGTTAGACTTGATTATAATTATACATTCAGTTCTCTTCTTTATATCTTAATATTTAACATAAATGTTTAATTTCTCATCCCCTTCCAATTCTTTCAAGAATAAATTTCAGAAGAACCTTTAATGTCAAAAAAGATGCTAAAGTATTATGATGTTAATACGCAATCTTTCACAAGGAAATTTTTTCCAATATCCTATATAACCACAAGAGTACAAATATGGCAAATCCTAGAAGAGCATTTGTATGCTTACATTATTATAATTTATACTTTCCTAAGCAAATGGTAGAACAGCTATATTTAAATGTAGCTTCTAAAACATGAAATGGGGCATTCATTCTTTTCTAGACTACAACTTTAGGAGTAATTTTAGAATATTTTCATAGGACACTGGGTTTTGAATTTTATAGTTACAAGATATGGATGTATATTAAAACCTCAAAATAATTTTTCTTATGCTTTCAAATTTAATGAAATTCCCCACAAAACAAACTTCTGTTTTAGTTCTTTGCTAGTAGTATTTCTCCCTTTTGTAATGGACATTTTCTTTCCATTAAAGCTTTGATCTTAAAATAACCACAAACTACTCCATCTCGAATGATATGCCAACTTAAAAAGTAATACAGCTAAATAACCTAAAAGAAAAGAAAAAAAAAAAAACCTACCACATTTAAGTATGAGTAGGTGTCTTTGACAAGGCCAAACTGTTGAAGCAGAGGTAGAATGTTGGTGGTAAAGATGTCCCACCATAGGTTGAGAAACTCTGGATGAGTCATGGTGGGATCATGAGACTCACTTCTGACACTTTTTAATTTGGGATCATAAGTATAACTCCATGGCTTGACTCGTCCCAGGAAATGCACGACTTTGGCTTTTGTACCAAACCTGCCAAGTGAACCCAAGTTGAAATGGTTAGTGGATTCAAAGCACTGACAAAATGATAAACATTATTTTGTTCTGTAACTATTACTAGTGCACCTTCTATCAGCCTATAGTGGTGGTTGGAAAAAGAAACTCGCTGTAAAGCTTTTTAGACATTTTTAAATGATTCAATTTTATGTTAAGTCTACCCAAGAATGTAAAAGTAGCAGATCAGTTCAATGACTCATAAGATCAGCTCCAGCCCATTCTTGCACCCTGTGTAACTGGAGACATAATGTTCAGAGTAGTAGCAACACTGTTTGAAATATTCCCAAGGATATTGTGCTACATTATTTCAAAATAGTTCCTCATCCCTCCCCTGGAGGGAACTGGAAGAGGATTTTTCTCTTATATTTTCTGTTGAAATCGCATTGTACTTCTGGACAAACTTGTGAACTATGTTAGCTGCATGCAGACTGCAGGAACATGGGATGGAACCCCAGAGAGAAAGGTGATCAGTGGTGCCAGAAAACACAAGCCTCCTGCCCCCTCAAAAACTCACTAGCAATTGGACAACCTCATTGTTCTCCCTGACACCCTACTCAGCAGGTATAGATGAGGTCTGCTTGACAATGTATAGAAGCCTGTAAGGGCCAACTATCAAAAACCAAAACCAGGGAAAGCTTAAAAATAAACCAAAAGTGTCACCTGCTAGAAAAGTAGAAATTCTGCAAACTCATAAGTTATTGCTAAGGATACCTTATTAAAAAATAAATAAATCAAAAGCAAACCCAAAAGCAGCAAAATGGGAAGACATAAAAATACAACACATGGGTATTGTAATGCTCATAGGAATATGTCACAAGAAGATAACTTTTGGGAACCCAATCACAAAGACACAGATCTTTTCTTCCTATCAGATACAGAGCTCAAAATTGCTGTAAGAGAATTGAAATAAGTGGAAGGAAACAAAGAACCTTAATCAAAATATAAAAACTCAAAATTAATATCCCCTAAAAGAACATTAATGAACAGAAAAAAAAAAAACAGGTGCAAGGTCAATTGGATAGAGAAAATTCTCAACAAATCTAGGGAAGCAGAAGAGATTAAAGAGATGACCTTGAAGATGCACTAAGAACCCAAAGGAAGAAAAATGAATAAAAGAATAACATTTTGAGAACTGTCCAACACCATTAGAAAAGGCAACATCATAAAAATGGGTATTTCCGAATGGGAAGAGAGAGGAGGGGAAACAGAACTTAATTTGCTTAATGGCTTAAAGCAAATAATTAGATTATATGGGCTTAATTGACATTTTAGGATAATGAACTATAAAAAAGCTGTGTACACAATTTTCTCAAGTATACATGGAACATCCTCCAGGGTAGACCTCATGTTGTCACAAAACAAGTGTTAGGACATTCATGAAGACTAACACAGCAAGCATCTTCTCTGATAGCAGTGGTATAAAAGAAATAAATCAGGAAAACAAAAGCAGTGGAGATTCACATAACTGAATGACTACTGACTCAATGAAAAGATTACTATTTCATCTGTCATACTTTTTAAAAGTATATTTGTACTTTTTTCCTACATCACTGTTAATTTTTTTAAACAGTATATGATTTCTCCTCCCAGATGTGGTCACTGCAGTTCTCTTATCACCAAAGCACGTGTAGTCTAGCTCCAAAGTCCCTTGTAGTATCGCCCTCTTCATTCCCACTACTCCCCCTCTCCTACACCTCCTAGATGTTTCGCATCTTTGGTCAGATTTAAAGGTTTCTCTTTGACCCTTTTTATATTCCACATATAAGAAACCATCTGGTATTTATCTCCTTCCTTATGACTGAGTTTGTTTAGGATAATCTGAATCTTCCAGGTCCATTAGTGTTGCTGCAAAGGGCTTGTTTTTTGACCACTGGAGTAGTATTCCACTGTGTATATATACCACATCTGGATACATTCATCTGTTCTGGGGCATTTTAATTGTTTCCACACCTTGATTACTATTAATAGTGCTGCAATAAACAGGGTTGCAGGTTTCCTTTTAAATTAGATTTTGTGTGTGGATTCCTAGGAGTATAATAGCTGGGTCATATAGCAGATCCATTTTTAGTGTTCTGAGAACTTGTCACACAGCTTTCCAGAGTGACTGGACCAGTATATATTTTTTTTAATTATTTATGCATATAGAACTGGGGTACTGGCCAGAGGTGCAAGGGCAGTATTCACCAGAAACAAGTGGGAAGCAGTATAGGCAAATTGACTCGACAAAGTACACTGCTGAGAGGAGCAGCAGGTGGGTCAGGAGAGATCTGCCATGCCATGTGGGTCACCTCCTGGCTGGGGATCAAACTCGTACTGAAGCGGCTGCGGCTTCATAGTGCTGCGCTTTAACCAGCTGTGCCACCAGGAAGGGCCTCGATCAGTATTCTTTCCCACTAGAAGGGTAAGAGAGTTCCTCTTTCTCCACATCCACATTTGTTTCTGTGTTTGTTTTTAATATGGACCAGTCTCACAGATATGAAATGGTATCTCATTCTGGTTTTGATTTGCATTTTTCTAATAATAATTGATGCTGGACATTTTCTCATTTCTGCTGGCTATAAAGAAGAATTTAAAAAGTGCTTAGCAATACATGAAAACATAAGCTACCAAATAGGAGAGTGAAAGAATGCCAAGATCAACTTTGCAGTTTTGTATAAGTTGGTTATCCACAAGAATGTTCTGGGATATCATCTGGGGGTGCTCTACTGTTATGTCTAAACTAGCCACCTTATGTGGAGGTTTGGGAGTCACATTAACTATGTAACTATGCTTTAATTGTACAAACAATAGTATTTATACAGTATAACATACTAAAGGGCTTGCTCTATTAGCTTTTGTAATAAAACACATGGTATGCAAAAATAAGATGAATAGGTTTCAAATATTTTCTATCTAAAGTTTGAATTAACCTAGATAGTAATGCCGTGCAATTATTTTATGCATCAATTATGTTCCCTAAGGAAAAATTTTATTTTCTATCATTTTAACCAAATTAATTCAGTAATTCATACAAAATATATCACATAAGGTCATTTTGCTTAAAATATTTTAAATGCAAATTTCTATGTTCTTTACATAAGTGTAACCCCAGATATCTTTTTTAATGTTACTTCACACCAAAGATAATAATCATGTATCATTCAGAATTTCTCCTAGTTGAAAGTAAAGTAAGTCAATAAGAAGTGGAAATGTTGATGCCAAATGATAAAGTTCAACTGACGTCAACTCAGAGCAAGGATAAGCAGAAGAGTCACTGACTCATTGCTTGATTTATCCACCAAATGACCAGCCAGGAACAACAACAACAAAAAGTTGGGTACATATCACAATTGTCTTTAAATTACTAAGAGTCATTCATTCTGACCAAGTAATGGGGATTTGTCTCAGCTTGCATACATCTCTTAAAATAAGTGTTCTAATTTTAACCTGACAGAGTCTCAAAAGAGACGTCCAAATCACAAGACATTGCTTGAACCTAAGCCAGCAATATTACTGCTTATGTTCGCCATTAAAATAATCCCTGTGACCTGGTGTTACCAAAAGATCAGATAGGATTTTCATGACTAGTTTAGCAGTTGAGATTTGTAGCTAGCAATGTGTGGAAGAGGCTTACAGGAGCTGTTTAGGCTGCATCTAGAACAATTTAGTTCTCACAAAGCTGTGTACAATGTTCAATTAGGTACCAAATGAGAAACAGCACTGTTTATGTGATCCTTCTCAGGGAAATAAGGCAGCTCTGCCAACCATCGTCTTGACTACTTCAGTGACTCATGTTTTCTGGTTCATGGCCACGTACTCTCATACCTTCTCAGGCCCACACACAAATCCACAACTCATTCGCCATCTCTTCTGTCATCAAGAAATTCCTCCTCTTGCCTATTCAGTGTAAATTATGACCAACCCAAGTACCCAACTGTGGGCCAGTCATGCAGGGAGGAGAAGTGGACCTGGAAAGGTAGGAATCACTAAGTATGAGCAAGTCCTGTCACCAGAGAACAACTGAGTAGCAAATAGTTGTTATCAAGGATTCACCAGAGTTTCTTTTGCTTTTCATGCCTCCCAATCATGCCTGGAAATTAGATCATCATCAATATTCAAACTTGGACATTAATATCCTAGACTAGGCCCTAGTCAACTAAACCACCTACCCGGCTGATCTCTCTTCACAAAGCAGACCACAAGGGATACTTTCTCAGTCTCTCATGGCTGACTACTCATTCATTTATTTAAAGAAAAAAATATATCCATCTGCATCTGTGCCCACCCACTCTACCTTCCTTATTGCAGGGGTGCGCTGTCCTGGCTCAATGTCTACTTGTGTGACTGTATACATTCCCTTGTAACAACTGCACTCCAGCAAGTGCAAGGGCATTCAGTTTTATGCATTATTAATGCTCTCTCCCTCCTTGATCTTTCCTATCAGTATACCAACAAGATGTAACTTCTCCCATCTTAAAAACAAAACAGCCGCCATCCTCTTCAGCCTAACAGCCCCATCCACCTACCAACCCACTTCTCTGCTCCCATTTAAAGAAAATGCGTCAGACTATAGATATAAGAGCTATTTACACTCACTCTCTCCAATCCCCCATTCTCCTGAACTACACTCACTCTCTCCAATCCCCCATTCTCCTGAACTACCTCACCAGGCATCTCCCACTATTCCACCATAGTTCTCTTGCCAAAGTCAACAGTGACTTCCATATTCTAGGTCCAGGGCCAGTTCTCAGGTGTCCTCTTATCTGACCACGCAGAACATCTCTCGCAGATAGATCACTCCACTGTGAAACAGCTCCTTTGCTTGGCTTGTGCAACAGCTCACTTTTTTGGATTTCTTCCTGATTTGCTATACTTGGTTCTTTCTATTCCTCCTCATTGTTCTTCCTCAGGCATCAGTCTTCAGGACTATCATCTATTTAACCTCTTGGTTAAATCATCTTGTTTCATACTATATCACTTTCATGCTCATGGCTCCT